TTAAAGGAATAGTTCACCCAAAAATTAAATATTGTTGATGTACTCATGCAAGATGTAGATGAGTTTGTTTCTTCATCAGATTTGGAGAAACGTAGCATTCCATCACTTGCTCAGCAATGGATGCTCTGCAGTGAATGGGTGCCGTCAGAATGAGAGTCCAACAGCTGATAAAAACATCACAGTAATCCACAAGTAATCCACACCACTCCAGTCCATCAATTAATGTCTTGTGAAGTGAAAACTTGTGTGTTTGTAAGAAACAAATTCTTAATTAAGGTGTTTTAACTTTAATTTGTTGCTCCTGGCAACAGTCCATAATCCTTAATAATGCTTCCTCCATCATCTCACATCAGAACCCACCCACATATTTGTTTAGATCTGTTTTAATCTGGTTTTGCTTGTAAGCGGTGCTTGATCTGTTCATATTTCTCTTCTGATTCAGACAAGATGACTTTTCCACTTGAGAAACCATTATAGATACAGGACAGTATTTTTGCCGGAAGCAACTGTTTGAAGTAAAAACGTCTTAATGATGGATTTGTTTGTTATAAACACACAGCTTTTCACTTCACAAGACATTCATTTATGGACTGGAGTGGTGTGGATTACTTGTGGATTATTGTGATGTTTTTATCAGCTGTTTGGACTCTCATTCTGACGGCACCCATTCACTGCAGAGGATCCATTGGTGAGCAAGTGATGTAATGTAAATGTATTTTCAAATACATTTTCAGTAAAAATGTAAACTTACTAAGCATTTTGGAATGAAAAGAAATGGTACTGCTTGATGCTGGCAGCATTATGCACTCATCGACTATATAAGTTTGAAAGCCTATTCATCTTGGAAGTGTAATTTTATAACTATAAATAACACACTGAGCATCCAGTATCGTGCCTCAGTATGAACTGTGGCCAAACAACACTTTTTTCACACTCAAACTTACAAAAACTTGCCTAATTACAGCACCAGTGTGCTCATAAAATAAAATCTAGAGGGCTTTTTTGAGCTTTTTCATTGCAGTTTTAATAAACACATATAGTTTGTAATTACTTTTTTAAGAAACAACATTCTAAAGTTGTTTTATAAACCAAAGCCTCAAACACACAGCAAGAGGATAAAAATCTGTTTTACTACATCATATGTACCAGTAATTTACATATGTTTTAAGAAACTACTTAAACTGAAATTATCTATAATAAATTAATTCAGATCCCTGACAACAGTTGAATAGTTTAGACCCCTGCTTTCATTATTTCATCCTGTACAGCCACAACATTATGGCACAAATGTTCTCAAAATTATTCAATAATAAACGATATGAAGTGAAAACATGCATGTCCAAAGCCTACATGAATGGCATATGCCATGTTTATGTACTGAATAGGTATTTCTAAAGTCCAATACACCTTATATACAAAATAATTAATATTTTGTTAGGCTGGAACAAAAACACCAGTCATGGCCTGCAGATTGACAGTTCCCCAGCTGACAGTGTTGAAGAGTGATGCTGCAGTTCAAGGTCACAGTAAATGAATGTATTTAATTGAATGTGTGCAGTGATTCATCCAAAATCTTTCTCATTTATGCACATATATGGAATGGACAGTGTTAAAGTAAAAAACAGCAATTTTTAATGGTATCGCGCATTCACAGCCAAAGAATGAAAACTAATTGCTCATTTCCCTCCATTCCTAAAATAATTGAAAGCATGCAAGTGCTTGGTCCAACCCAACCGAAGGGTATGGTGGAAATGTGAAACATAGCCCTTAACACAGACAGTTTTATCTTAGAGCGTCATTACTGCTTTACATATTTATTAAATATATGAAAACATCCCAATATGATTTCACAGGCTGTGACTTTAACTGTTGTTATTTCACTGAAATCTCATTGATATTCAGTGAAATCTCATTGAGCTGTGAATTGATCATATTCTTCACAAAAAGTACACTTTTGTATTCATTACTTATGTTGGGCATAATTCACCCCAAAATGAAAATTTGCTGAAAATGTATTCACCATCAGGCCATCCATGATGTAGATGAGTTTGTTTCTTCATCAGAACAGATTTGGAGAAATTTAGCATTACATCACTTGCTCACCAATGGATCCTCTGCAGTGAATGGGTGCCGTCAAAACAGCTTATAAAAACATCACAATAATCCACAAGTAATCTACATGACTCTACTCCATCTATTAACACCTTGTGAAGCCAAAAGCTGCATGTCTGAAATAAACAAAAACTTTTTAAACTACATTTTGGATGGCCTTAGGATGAGTACATTTTCAGAACTATTCCAATAACACTCCTTTCACACCTTTCAGGGTTCTTTATAGTGGAAAAAGGTTCTTTAGATTTTTTTTAAATGTTCTTCAAAATGGTTCATTTAAGAACTGTTCACCAAAGGTTCTTTGGGGAACCAAAAATGGTTCTTTTATGGCATCACTGCAAAAACACCCTTTTGGAGCCTTTATTTTTAAGAGTGAAGCTGATATGTTCAACCAAAGACACATGCTCCGGATGTCATCATTAAAATCATATCAGATCCATAAATGGTTTATTTTCTACTGCTGGACATCTACTGCCCGATAGCATCTTAAAGATTACAGAATCACCAACACAGTCAGCCCTTTTACCCAGTTTATTATGTAATAGAAAAATGACATAAAATGAAAATTCCAAATATGTCTGACACACAAATGAAAAGAATTGACACCTAAAGAGTTTTGCTTCTGTGGGGAATCAACCAAATATACTGTGACTTCAAAAAGTATTTGAACAGAGGAGCCACATTAAAAAACGTCTACTTTTTTTTTTGTGCATTATATAACAACATAAAAAAACCTCAAACTGAACAATATTAGATGTGATAAACTGTGATGAACTGAAGTTCAAGGTCTAGAATCAATTGTTTGCAGATGACACTTGGCTTGATATTTTATATCTAATGACATTTAAGTACGACCAAAAGTGTCCAGATACTTTTTGGGGTGACTTGGTGTTTAAATGTCATGAAGTGATGAACCACTGCATTGTGGCAACACACTGCATGAATGTCATTTATGCCAAGAGGTATATTGGAAGTACAACAAATATAATATCACAAATATTTTTTGTCTGAGATCAAGTTGCGAATGGTAAATCACTAGAAATGACCCTAGTTGAGTACTAGCAACGGTTTTGAAATGATCTCTCCATTCTGTCAACCTGAATGATAGGTTTGAAAATTCATCATATGCCATTAGACAGATGGGAACTAATCCCTGGATAAAGGGTGCAGCTTCTGTTGCAGGGACAGTGATACATAAACAGGTACAACCTGACGCTCGGATTTGGTATTTAATGCAAAGTTTATCTGCATGCATACATGAACATTAGGACTCCCATATACCCCGATTCCACCGTCTTCACGACAGCGCACACAGCCTGCTTTAGACTGTACGCTCAAAAGAGACATCAACGGGTACAACATGAAATAACATTTTACAGCACAAACAGGTACGGATGCACATAAATACACACTTACATTGAGAACAAACAGCACATATAGTAGACCGTACTACAGTAGAATTTTTTTTAAAGATTCTCTCTCTCTCTCTCTCTCTCTCTCTGTACAGAAAGTATATACACTTTCTGACTTGTACTACTAAGAGTTAAATAGATTTCAACATACTTTTACAGGAAACAGATGCATGACTACAAGATGATTATTTTTTCATTAATTATTGCAGTCTAACAATATGGCTTTGACTAGTGAAAAATCTTTCAGCACTACAAAAATGAAAAAGTCAATCTCATTCTTTCTTTCTAATGTAATTTAAAAACGTTAACCTTCCGCACTGCTAAAATGTGTGTAGCATGTGTTATTCTAAAGTATGGCATTCTGTTCTTACTAAGATTTTTTTTTTTTAAACAAACTTTACAATCTTAAAGCATTTTGATCACAGAACAACCAGCCTAATGGGTACGGATATAATCCTGTAGTTATTTAATTTGCTAACAGAGTTTAAAAAGGGTCACATTTTTAATCGGACTGATTGGAAAACATAACTACTGACTTTTTGTAATGAAAACTTATTTATAGGTTTATATTTTCCATCATGCAAAACAATACCCATTTGAGCATTACTTTACAAAATATGTTTGCTCTTTACCCCAGTTTTCATAAACAGTTATGTAAACATTTATCCCTCCCCCAAAATATGTGTCCAACATGTTTATCAAATGGCAGTGTTCACTCAATGCTTAAAAACATAAGGACATTAATAATTGAAATAAAAAAGCCCTAAGTCATCATATTTGCAACCCCACATCAGATTTGCCAGTGGTAACATGAATATTTTGGGCAGCATTTTTAATAATGATCATGCAGATATATTGTGTTTCACAGCAGGAACGATTGTTGTTGATCAGATGCATGAATATAACTGTTTCTCAAAATATTATCATAATATCATACTGTTATAATAGATCATTTAGCATGCTGTTTCTTGAACTGTCAGCGCTGTACTAAAGTGTATAATTGTGGTTCATTCTCTCTTTGGTATTTTTTACTGTTGTGATTGAAGCTCATGCATTCTTATAATTAATTTAGTACATATTGTTATCGATTAATAATTCTTTTCAAAAACATCATTTAAAACGAAAGCCCTTTTCCATCATTTCCAGGTAATTGCAACTTTTTATCTTTATTCAGCTAAGGTAGGTATTCTGATTTTGAGGAACATCACAAATATTGTGTGAACCATGTTTTGTTTTTCTTGCAATTGCGAATTTATATCTGAGATGAATTGAAAGATATTAACTGACAACTGCATGGAAAACAATAATTTTGAGATTTACTTTTTTTTTTATTTCATGCCGAAAACAAAACACAGAATTTCTCAGAATTCTAAGAAAAAAACCTAGAATTGCCAGAAACTCAGAATTCTGTCTTGTTTTCTCACAATACCAATTCTGAGTTTATATCTCACCAATCTGAACTGTGAGATATAAGCATGCGAATGCAAGAAAAAAAGTCAGCATTGTGAGATTTTTTAATTCAATGCCGGAAACTGGTTTCTATATAAAACAATGCCTGCACTTTATGCAATATTACTAAATTCATTATACTATATGTAGGCTTGTTTTTTGCATTTTAATGTTACAATTACCTACTTTTTTCTACAAGCACAATAAAAACTCAGGTCAGACCTTTACATAATATTCAGCTAAGGCAGTTGTTCTAATATTGCAGAACATCCCAAATATCTTGTGACCCATCTTTAGTTTTACATACATTTTTAACAGATAACAAAAATAAAATAAGATTCTTTTTCATTTTTGAATGAAACCAGTTAATTTCTGATTGTCATGTGTGAGTAATCTAACATCAGATCATCGTGAGGAATGTGCTGTGAAACACTGGCTGACTTCTGAATGCATACTAAAATGTCTGTAGAGTCTGTTCTGTATGGTTTTGGGATCTTGAATCGTCCTGAATGACTCTTAATTGTAAAGATGATTTGGTCCAGTTTGTACTATTGTCACAGACAGTTCTAGTACTTACTGAGCTTTTCCTGATCTTTTGCTGGCAAGGCTAATGTGAATATTACTTGTGGTCAAATCAAGTTCTATTTCACACTAACAAAAAATAGAGAGAGAAAAAAAAATCAAAATAAAGAATACATCATAGACAAACGAGAACTGACAGGCTGCAAACCATTTAAGCATTCAGGTGGTCAGACGTGGCACATCTAAGACAGTAGCGTCTCCCATTTTTACAAATGGCACCGTATCATCAATCTCACTGATGGCAAACGTAATTCATCATACAGTACGATTTTGACCTCATGCAACTACTCAAAGCATTACAGCTGCATTCTGCACTTCACTGACAACTTTTCTATGAAAGAAGGGATAGTTATATCAAGCTAGAGTTTTAAAATACTCTGACCCCACTGTGTTTTAAATAAATAAATCTAGTAAGAATCAAATTCCCAGTGCCAGAGCTCAGTATCAATGTGCTGTTATTGTGGGGCTGATCGTTGAGTACCTAAGGCAGCATCAGAGACCCTGCTGATCAGTAAACAAACACAGAGATTTATAGAAAGTGTAAACAATTTGAACCTGAATGGCAGTGAAAAGACCAGACGTTGGCGGGTTATGATTTGTGTATCTATCCATAAGAAAGGAACAATTAAAATTCTGTCAAGGCAGTGAAAAGCCTTTCACCTGTTTGGCAAAAATCCCCCCTCACCCATCTTTCTTGAGAAACAGCTTCATGTCTGTTACTTTTTAAACATGTCCTGCAGAGGTCCCGGCAGGAATTTGAGAACGGTGTCTAGAATGCTCTCCTCGTCCTCGTCGTCATCCGCCCCGCAGCCTGCTGGGATGGCCTTTTTGGGGCGAGTCAAGGAGCCTTCGCACGCTTGTTCCATAGCCGCTTTCTCCTCTGCTTCCTTCTCTTCTTTCTTCTTTAGTCCATACTATGTAAACATACATATAATATGAAGTGGAAATAATTTAACATGAGAAGAACAGGAGGAGTGGACTATTGAAAATTTTCTAATAAAAGCATTTCTCATAGCTCTACTGTATTTAATGGATCAAATCAAATCAAATCAAATACCAAGAACTACAAAGACTATGCAAAAAAAAAAATATATATATATATATATATATTATATAATATACTATATGATACTATACGTGGCTATATGATGTATTATATAATATACTATACTATTTGATCAAAAAATGCAGTAAAAACAGTAATATTGTGAAATATTATTGCTGTTTAAAATAACTGTTTTCTTTTTAAATATATGTTAAAATGTAATTTATTTCTGTGATTAAAGCTGAATTTTCAGCATCATTCCTCCAGTCTTCAGTGTCACATGATCCTCCAGAAATCATTCTAATATGCTGATTTGCTGCTCAAGAAACATTTCTGATTATTATCAATGTTGAAAACAGTGGTGCTGCTTAATATTTTTGTGGAAACCATGTAACATTTTTTTTCAGGATTTTTCAATGAATGGAAAGTTCAAAAGAACAGCATTTATTTGAAACAGAAATCTTTACACTTTACCAAAATTACCAACCCAAACTTTTGAACGGTAGTGTACTATACTATACGACATAATACACTAGAATAAAATTAATTTATAATATTCTACATAATGCAACCAACAGAAAAACTGATTATCAATTCCTGTTTTATTTTGATCAAATATTACTGACATCATCTTAGCTGCCCTATTTTGGGTTCATTTATGAACTTTCTTAAGACCATTGCTATGTTTCAAGACTGAAACTCCATGCAAAAAAGCTATTTTGTATTTTAAATTCATGATTTATTCAGGCCATAAAGGCCAAACATTAAAACATTCATCTTGTAGGATTTAACTGTTGCCCTTATTTATCATATTGGCCTTAAAGGGATAGTTCTACCAAAAATGAAAATTCTGTCATCATTTATTCACCCTCATGTTCATAGGCAATGATCCCATGTGTGCTCGAGCCCCCAGAGCACCCAAAAACACGAGCTATTCTCTATTAACTTTAACCAATCAAAAAATCGACTGAGATTCTGGAACCTTTCTGATTGGTGGATCTCACATCGGGTTCCTGCGGGTCATAATACACACAAATGCCTCTTTACAGTAAAAACTGTAGTCCATTACTGTTTACAAATTACATAATGGAAATTGCAGTTAGTAACCTCTGTTGGATTACACATATTAGGTAATGTATTCGAAGTACTTTTTGGATTACTTTTACATTACTTTTGACCGAACTCATAAGAAAATATTTTGTGTTCTTTTTTTTTTTTTTTTTACAGTTTTCAGTATCAGTAGCTCATATTTAGGCATTTTATGGAGTTTTATATTGGAGTATGCTTTATATTTATTAAGTGTGGACAGAAACATAAATCATCGCATGATCCAAACCTGAATGACTTTCCTTCTAATGAGGAACACAGCAGAAGATATTGTGAAGAATGTAGTTTCAGTTCCCATTGACTTCCATTGTATTTTTTGTCCACACAATGGAAGTCGATGGGAACTGAATCTGTTTGGTTACCAACATTCTTCAAAACATCTTCTGTTTGTGTTTGGAATGACATGAGAGTGAATAAATGATGACAGAATTTCATTTTTGGGTGAACTATTTCTTTAAAGTCCCCTGGGTCTGATGCATTTCTGTGGCTTTCAGTTTTAAGTGAGATCAGGCCATGTCCAGATGTTCTCGTGGTGCTTCTCATGACCATTTGGAATCATGCATGACCCTGTAATGACTTTATACTTCTGGCTAACACTAACGCTACTTTCCTCTCTTAAGAATGAGCTGTTCAATTAGCTGTAATTAGCTGACATTAAGACCTCCTGCAAATGTGACATTTCATTAAAGCGTAATGGAGATTCTGATTTGATGTGTTATTCCCACACACACATACATCATTAAGTCCTCTCATCAAGGTATAATGGCTTCATCCTGCTTTAGTTTGAAATTGATTAGCAATTAGCAAACGCTCCCATGTTTACCAGTTCATTCAAACGTCCTGGTCTCAGTCTAATCAGCGGTCACAAGGAGCTGAAGTGGACGGGAAATGTGAAAAGCGTACCTTATCTCGAATGGCCTGTCTGACCTTTTCCCTCTCGGCCTCCATACGAGCATGTTTGGCCTTTCGCTCCTCGTCTTGTTGTCTGAGCGCCTCCTGCCTCTCTTCCTCCTTCTTCTGGGCATCAGGGTCCTTCTCTTCCTCTCCACCTAACATCTTCCCCATGTCTTTGGTGGCCCCTGTGCAATAAAGAGCAAAGATATCATAAGCAGTTTTCAATGGCTGATACTGAAATATTAGTCACTACCATTCAAAAGTTTGGGGTCAGTTAGATTTACTTTACTTTACTTTTCTTTTTTGAATACATTTAATACATTTTTTTATATATTTATTCAGCAAGGCTGCTTTAAATAGATTAAAAGTGACAGTAAAAGACATTTATAATGTTACAGAAGATTTATATTACTTTCTTTTTTTTAACTTTCTATTTATCAAAGAATCCTGAAAAATGTGGGAAAACAATCATTTTAAACAGTAAAATACATCTGCACATTTTTTAAATCAGTTTTTTTAAATCAGTAAAGCATATTTAAAAATTAATGTAAAAAAGTTCAATTTCAAAAATGTCCGTAAGATATTAAAACTTTTTTTTTTTGAAGAATTTTTTATAAAAAAATACATTTAATAAAATAGAAAACAACAACAACAACAACAACAACAATTTGCCAATCAGGTAAGACAAATATAAATATATTTAGATATATTACCTGTTACCATGCTATTTCTTACTATATTTTGCTTATCAAATATATTTATCTTGTTTAAAGGATGTTAGGCAGTATTTGCAGGTGAGCTTTAGTAAGTCTGTACTTATTTAATGTTTTAGAAGATTCCTATTTCTTTCTCTTTTTTTAAACTTTCTATTCATCAAAGAATCCTGAAAAAATGTGGAAAACAAACAATTTAAATTGTAAAATACATACTGTTTCACAGTAAAGCATATATAAAAATTCCAAACACACACACACACACACACACACACATGTCTGGTTTGCTATCCTTGTGGGGACTCTCCATAGGCGTAATGGTTTTTCTACTGTACAGACTGTATTTTCTATTGCCCTACACCAACCCTACCCCTAAACCTACCCCTCACAGGAAACTTTCTGCATTTTTAGATTTTCAAAAAACTTCATTCTGTGTGATTTATTAGCTTGTTTACCCGTGGGGACCTCAATTTAGGTCCCCACCGTGACACGAGTCCCCATGAGTCTGTGTGTATTCAGGTTTAAGTCCCCACCAGAATAGAAAAACAGGTACACACACTTCTTTTTTTAACTTTGTATTCATTCAAGAATCCAGAAAAATGTTAAGCAGCCTTAACAACATTGAAAACTTTGCCAGAACAGGAATAAATTACATTTTAATATATATTCAAACAGAAAACAGAATTTTTTTTGTTGTTGGAATTTTACTATTTTTACTGGATTTTTGATCATACAAATGCAGCCTTGGTGAACATAAAATACTTCTTTTAAAAGCCCCAAACTTTTGAATGGCAACATAATTATATATGTGTTCACAAATTCTAAAGAGAGACTGATCACGTTTTGCACTGTGCGATCTCCTAATATGATGATACACTGAAGCCAAAATGATGATGGCAAACAGAGACACCAGAATGATGCATGTGCCACTCCTCTCTCTGCCATCTGTTTCATTGGTGCAGCTCTACCACCTATCACGCTGTGTATTGTACATCATGTTTTGGTTTCAGCAAACAACAGCCGCATGTCATTTTGGGTAGTGCAGCAACAAATGCTCCTAAGCAATGGCTGTGTTTGCATATACCTCGATGGTCACTTTAACCATATGTTTTAAAATGCAAAGCACAGCTGTGTTTGAGAATCATGCAGACTGATGTGAACGGTCTAAGCAAGATTTGGTTGCAAACGCTGTACTATTGCTTTAAGTCATCAATCATTTGCATAATGGCTGTGCACAATATGTCTCTACAAGCAACTGTACACTCATTCATTATTAATGGCAGTCATTTATTATGCATGAGTGTGCATTTGAAATCTATGCATTACCTTCACATGTGTTTAATTGCTTCTGTATGACACTCAGGACACTGAAGAGGAAAGGAGTGGCAGTGTACACTTTGAGTGGTCTTTAACCGTCTGCATGTGCATGTCGAGGACAGCCTGAGCTGACATAACAGTGCTCATATCATGTCAAGCTGCAGGATGCCCATGGTCCACAAGGACCGTATGAAGTCATTCAGTTACTGTGGCCTCAGGTCATTCAAAGCCCACACTAAATCCCCCACCAAACCAAAGCTTCTTGATCGATAATTAACAACCTGCCCAGTTTTGCCTCAGTTACTGTGACTCTAACTGTTGATCTAAGCATTTACATTTGAACTTTAACAATGTCATGACTGAAAGAAGCAAATGAAGGGTCTGTAAAATAAACTGTCAAATAAAATAAGAAATAGTAACTGTAAATATCCAAATTCTAAAATTCCATGATATTAAAGTATTACATTTTAACATTTAATATTGCTTTTTATTAATGATTTTAATATAAGATTTTTTTCTTACAAACTAAATTTAAAAAAAAAAGACACAATTTGTCTAATTTAAGTAATTTAATATTATCTTTTGCTTCTCAAGTATATGTATTTCTGCCATGACAACTCTCGGAGAGTTTAGCATGGTAATATGCATGGCAATGTCAATGTGTTTGGTCTTGGTGGAATTGATCTGCTACGCTGCTGCTGCAGAGCAAGTACCGAGACTTGCTACTTCCAGTACATCCATGACATGCTGCTGTGAGCATGTAAGAAATACTGCTACTGCACATATAACATATATGAGACAACCCTATATAAACATACATGAAATCACCCCGTAGCAGATCTATACAGGTGGAGCTGGGGAAGGTGGAGGGTTTCTGAAGTGCGCTGCAACTGCTACAGCGACCACTAGCCGAGTATTTGAATGTTTGAGCTGCAAGCTCATTGGTTGCTGATACAAAAAGAACCAATCAGCTGCACCATGTGAATAATGATGTCATTATGTCAGACTGAGTTAGAACCTATCAGCCTGCGCCAACTAGAGTTTCATTACAGAACTTTGTATTTATTTATTTATTTTTTTTATTTTTTTTTACAGGATATTAATGTTTTTATTGGAAAATACAGATTAAGAATTTTTTGCAGTATTTTTTATTTTACCCACTGACAATTTCTTTCTTAAAAACTAAATCAAGATTTATGATTTTTTTTTTAAAGAAACAATTTGACAATAATAATAATAAAAAAAAATACTAATTTAAGCAATTTAATATTATCTTTTGCTTCACAAGTATATTTATCTTTTTTTTTTTTACAGGATGTTAATATGTTTTTATTGGAAAATACAGATTAAGAATTTTTTGCAGTATTTTTTATTTTTTTTTATTTTACCCACTGACAATTTCTTTCTTAAAAACTAAATCAAGATTTATGATTTTTTTTTTTAAAGAAACAATTTGACAATAATAATAAAAATAAAAAAATACTAATTTAAGCAATTTAATATTATCTTTTGCTTCACAAGTATATTTATCTTTTTTTTTTTTTACAGGATGTTAATATGTTTTTATTGGAAAATACAGATTAAGAATTTTTGCAGTATTTTTTTTTACCCACTGGCATTTTTTTCTTAAAAAATTATTATTTTTAAATTAATAATTTGCAAATAAAAAAATAACAAACAAAAAACAAAAAACAAATAAAAGTAATGTAATATAACCTAATATAAACTATATCTATCTTTTTTTTCAATATGTTAATAGACTTTTATAGGAAAATACAGATTAAGAATTTTTGCAGTATTTTATTTTTTTCTTACAAATTATTTTTTTAATAAATAAATTGCAATAAGAAAAATATAATCTCTAATGTAATCTAATATAAACTATATTTATCTTTTTTACAGGATGTTTTTTTATTGGAAAATACAGCTTAAGCATTTTTTGCAGTATTCTTAGGTGAGCTTCAGTAAGTCTGTGCCACAGTCACCTGTTCAAGTAACAACTGCAATGTTGGGAAATTTGGGAAATTTGGGAAATGGGAAATTTTTGTCAAACAGGTTTCCTGAATACTCCTCTCTTCTGCCATTGGTTGATTTCACGGATAGCCCCACCCTAGAGTCACACCAATGGTTAAGCCACTGTTGCTGTTGCCGGGCCAATCAGGATGTTTAAACACACTAAATAAAAATACTAATGACAACTAATAACTAATAAAAAATTATTCAGATGGTTCAGATTTTCACGTCCCGTGAATTGTTCTAAAAACACAATTCGACTGCCGTTCCTGAGAGCTTAAAGTAAGATGTAGGCGACTGAATGTAGTCCTGTTGTCTGTTTAAAGCCACACAGAGGATGGTTAACATAACAATAGAGCTGCATCCCTCTATCAGATACTTCATGGCTTTACATCAAAGCACTTGGCAGGAACAGCAGTGATGGTTATGGATGGAAGAGCAAATCTGGGCTCTGCATAACGATGGCACAGCCGCTGAACTGTATTCCAGTATCTCTGGAAACAGCCTAATTCTTAATGATACGTGAATTATCAGAGCTTAGGAAATTAGCATATTAATTAAGTTCTTTTATAACAGTAAAGCACTAGTAGTAAAAATAGGTCACTTGCGTTTTATAACCGGAACACTGCTAGCGTTTAATACAGTCTCTAAAGCAAACATCGTGCATGAAATATCTTACACAAAGAGAAGAGAATTTGAGAATGATTAATAAGAGGTTGGTGAGTGTATCTGGAGATATTTTGTGTAATAATATGCTTTTATAATGTCACGTGAGCCATTAACTCTTTCCCTGCCATTTTCAGGCTTTCAGTGTTTTCACTGTTATACAGTAGAAGGCACTATTGTGCATCTTCTGAAAGAGTACTGAATCTCTGGAACAAAACCCGGCGAAGAAGAAACAGAAACTAGCGATCGCGTATGTAAGCAAATACAGCATATAAATCAAAACTGCCTAACGTTACTGAATGAAATGTCGACCCAGGAAGTGGTTTAGGACTGTGAAGCTTTGGGTTTTAATGGACTCGCTCTACACCATCTATGTTTTGATCAACGTTCTGAATCCCTTCCAGATGTAGACTTTGATAAAAACGTGATTTTCTCAGCTTTTTGTTTAAAATGTTGTTTTTTTATTAAATTTACCCACATTCAAGTCTTGACAAAAAAGAATGCATTAACTTTTTTTGTTGATTTAAAAGCAGAGGCTCTGTTCTTTCTTTTGATATTTTGCATGTTCAGATATTCATATAACAAAATATTCTGGGGGCCATGAAATTTTTGTGAAAATGATCAAAAATGCTGGCGGGAAAAGAGTTAATAAGCAGGGCTGTTCTGAAGCACAACATTTTTTATTACAGTTTATGCCCGCTTTCTGTTTTCCATCTTTCTTTAATAAAAGTCTTTCACACTAACAGACAACAAACATAAAGGTTGTTTTTTACAGTCTGCTGAACGCCGACTCTTCTCTGTGGGATCTTGAAGAAATTCTATATGCTTCTGCATAATTTGCAAGGGTTGAGGAAATCAGGCTAGGGAAAGTCTGTTTAATAATGGATGATTTTCGTGAGTAAATCATGCTCCATTACCTCAGAGCTACGAAGCAGAATTTAAGGTTTATTCTTTGTGGAAATAGTACCATGTGTTATGCAAACTGTCAATCATACATGTCTGTCATTTCCACAGCAGTAGTTGATGACACTTACCGCCCAACGCTTGCTTCATCACAAAATCCATGATGCACTCAGATATGTGGTCTGTTTCCAGCTAAAGGGAATGTTGCATTTAGTCTAGCTGTGATCTTGATTCTGCCGGTCCACCACAGTGTGTCAGTCTTCTGAGTCCTGATGAATCCTTCACACCTACTGGGAAAAGAAGGACGTAAATCAGAAATACTGACAGTTCAGTTAGATAATACTGATCACTACTGTCTCAATACAACCTCATCCATCACATCTGTGAGCATCTGAGCTGAAATTGAACAATGCTACTAAAAAACACCTAAAGAGACAAGACACAAGACTAAAGAACAGCAGTGAGATTAATGAAAGACGCATTAAACAAACCGGAATTATGTGTGCAACTGTTTGTAACTAGTTCCTATTATGTATTTACATAAATCTGCTTCCACTTACCAGCTTACTGACTTGCAATTTGTTCTTCTTGAAGAATTCCGAACTGAACATTAAACAAAACTACATGCTTGAATAGCTGGAACATGAGAAACGCTCACTGCGTCCTGATAATCCACCTCTCTCTCTCTCTCTCTGTGTGTCGCTCCAGTAGCTTCATTCATACTCGCCCACACTCCTCCCCCTCATCTTTCCATCTCCCTTCAGTAAAATGAAGTTTATTTTGTTAAATTTAAAGGAGGGATTACCCCAATTACTGCATGTTTCGGTTTGCTTAAAGTATACAACAGCTTTTCAAACATTTCTTTACTTTTATGGCATTTTCCCTGTAGAAATATTACTGTATATACACCTACACTTCTGTTTGAACATATATATATATATATATATATGTTTCTGTTGCCATGCTGTTTGCTCTTTATCTAGGTCTATATATAAACCTAAATAAAGAGAAAAACAGCATGGCATGATAAAAATCTCTCCAAACCTTTTGTAAATTCATCCCCTTGTTGAAAAATATTATTTATATTAATATTATTAATACTTAAACTTTGTTTTACCAATGTAGCTTGTAATAACAGCAAATGCTGAGATTAAAATAACTTGTTTGTTTGTTTTTTGCACACACAAAAAAAATCAGTAGATTGTAAGAAAAAGGTTAAAGGTCCCATGGCATGAAAATTTCACTTTATGAGGTTTTTTAACATTAATATGAGTTCCCCTAGCCTGCCTATGGTCCCCCAGTGGCTAGAAATGGCGATAGGTGTAAACCGAGCCCTGGGTATCCTGCTTTTTCTAGAGTCAAAATGAGGCTGTGCTAACACCCGCCATGTCTGATTAGCGTAACACAAAGCATCCTTCTGTGACCTTGAGGTTGGGTTTGTGAGCCATTTACCCGTTCAATTCAACCTGCCTCCAGTACAACCACCTCTACCACGTCAACACACACGGTATTGATGTAGCTGAGATGCTTAACAGATAATAACAGACAGATGCTTTCTATGGGTTTTTGGGTCCTATTAAATTTTACTCTATTTTTTACAAAAACCAGCAATAGTATGCCTAAGCGAGACTGGTCTCAGAAGACTCGTGAGAAAACATTTCAGTATTTATGTTCATATAAAATATAAACATAAATGCGTAAATGATAACTTCATACCATTTAAAATACATGTATCAACTGTATAAATGAAGTTAAAGCATGCAAATTGATTAATTGTAAATTAGCTTACCACATACAGTAAAAAATAGTAACATTTCACAACAGTGCAGTTACGTGAGATATTTTTTCCCACATATTTTTTGTCTGAGCACCACAAATCAATTGATTTGCATGGACAGATTGTTGCATAAAGTAAGTAACTGTGAATGTATCTGGTGGTAGATCATCCACTTCAGGCATGCATCTCTGTGGCAGTGGAGTAATGACTTCAGTAAAGATTAGTTGTCCATGATTCTCTCCACATCCTCTCTTATCTTCTAACAGATCCTTTCAAGAACAGCCATTTAGGAGTGATACACATGGTCCCTTATTGCATCCATTAAGCTTATTGGAAGCTACCTTCAGCCACAGCTTAATGAGTCAGGTAAAAGATGCCTGGGGCCAGTTCAAATCAATAGATATGGACAAAGAAAGATTCCTGACTTTCCCCACAATCCTAGAGCTTTCAGCTTCAAGGCAACTACACGACTTTAAAACAGCAGTTTCTTATGCACAAAGAAGCCTTGAAAGCAAAAGGGAGAGAAAATAGCATCAAAACCTTGAGGAAATAGCAGCATGTTCAGTCATTTTCAACAGCCTTTCTTGTTCCTTGACAGATTATTCTACCTGAATACACCACACAGATTGTATCACTCCACTTTTCTGTGCTTGTTCATTCAAGAAACCCCAAAGTATAGCTACTTTTTGTCTGTGTGCCATCATTTTCATAAATCCACACACCATTTGCAGCCCTATATTTGCAATCTATAAAACACGGATTTCGCACAGACTGGTGATGACTGATCTTTTTTTTTTTTTTTCAAGTAAATTAAGTAATCTACCTATACCTAGTGGTGGGGTTTTCACTGACTCTTTCAGCAGGTTACATCGTTATGTCAGTAGGTGACAAGTGAGTGTCTTTATGAGTGATTCATTGAATCATTCGTTCAACTGATTCAATCAAACAGGAATGAAACAAGTTAGTCAGTCACTGAATCATTCATTCAATCAATTTGTTCAAAACCGCTGAAATTGCTCCCTATAGCCATATTTATGATACTATTTGAAGGACAGCCATTTGTAGTGGAGTTCGAAACCATAGTACATTATCAATTCCACTCATTTAATCCCATAATGCACTCATGGTCCGAATTAATTCACTTGTTTTCATTTATTCATTCAATGAACTATATAAATGAAGCGATGTAGGGAAACCTGGATGAGGTAGGAGCAAATTCGAAAAAAAAACATCTACTGTCTTTATGATTGAGTCATTGAATCATTCCCCTGGCTTAAATGACTCATTGATTAATTCAAGAACAAAACCACTACTGTGGCTGTAACTATTTTCGTTGGTGAACCAAAAACAGACAATGTTACAGAACATATTGTGTCTAAATGTAAGTTACTAAATATTAACATTTTGTTTATTGAACTATATAAATGCAATATACTCGCAATACTCACACTCGCAATTCTGCAGTTTATCCATATATCAGCATAGCTATATGTATAGCTTCTATATCGCATTACATATTGCCTACATATATTAAATGCACATAAAACTATAATGGTTGAGTGCTTTCAGACATTCTATAGACCAGTATTTACGCATATATAAAATGACACAAAATGCTTTATTCTAACCAGCTAACCAATTCAGTACTATAAAGTCGCATAGCACTGCACGATTATTTGCAATTTTGCAATTACATTGTAGAACCAACTTTTCCCAGGTGTTTAGGACACCGTTTCTACTAAACCACATAACAGAGAATATAAAGAGTGAGTAGATCTGTCCTACATATTGTGATGAGGATGTTTTCCTGTTTTTATTTGAATTTTTTAAAAAGAACAACATTTACCTGAGGGCAATAAACATGCCTGACATTTACAAAAGGTTTTTAGGCATTTATGAAATGTTTACACCATTACAAATGAGTAATAACCATTGTTTCAAACTAAATTGATTGAAAATACATTTCATTATGAGGACAAAATATGTTCAGTTGAGTAAAACTGTTGAAAATGAGAAATATAGTAAGTCTTTAAATGAAATGATTTATTTTATTGTTCTGACATTTGCAGCCTAAAAGACAAGCCTGAAATAAAGATGAACAATATTTTTCGGTTGAGTTGCATGTCCGTGATGCCGATGGCGAGTCGTACACTTAGGCCAGCTTCATTTATTCTGTGACATTTCTGCTGAGTTTGCCAAACCACTTTGTGCTTCAATTATTACTTGATTAAAAAAGCAAACATTGCAGTTAATATGCCAAATTATCATGTAGAAGCATGAAACCATGCACACAGTCTGGAGCTTGGATGTCTGCCAGTGCAAAATCTTTAAACCATATGCCAATTGCCAAAATTTTGTTTAATAGTCATAACATAAACGATAAAAGCATTGATTATGCAACTGTAACAGCAAACCGAATGGTTTCAACCCACTCTGTAGATACGTCTGGACAGTAAATAAGGAACCGATACACTTTCCGCACAAGAGAAGACATGGGAGGCTGTGGAAGAGAAGCAGGAAGGCAGGGCATGAAGGGTAATTAGGTTAAACTCAGAGCAGCTCATCTTGGTTTACAAAGCCATTCTGACAGAAAAGCACCATTCACGATTAGATTAAATTTGTGGCATGGGGCCTGGCTACAATACTATACAGATCCATCCCAACACACAGGAGCAGGAAAGCAATCTGTTCATTCTCAGCATGTATATTAATACATCGTGCCTGGAATCATTTTGCCGAGGTTCGGCATTTATTAGCACAACAAAACATAGATCTAGTGCAGAGCAGCATATCATGTGTCCTAATATTACTGCTATATTACTGAAACACTGTAAAATAAATGTAATGCCACAGAGCTGGATGATAAGTTCATCCTCAGAGGTTTATCATGATGTATCAGGGCAGCAATACGTGAAAAAATATTTTTATATATATATAATTTTTTTCACTGTCACCTTAAAGGGTAAGTTCACAGATTTTTAACCAGCTTTATATTGTTACATTGTCGGTAGTAGGGCTGGGTTTTGACACAAATTTCACAATTTGATTCGATTCTTATTCACAAGCTTGCGATTCGATTTGATTACCAATTCGATTCGATTCGATTCAATATAGATTATTTTGGATATATATCAGGTACAGTACTTGCCAAAATTTCTCAAAGAAAAAAATCTCTCAACTAATGCTGTAAAATATCAGTCAGTTGGTACTACATTACTATAATATTGAAGGTTAAAATTGACTGATTTGTTAAAATTACACTTAATAAAGTTTTTAAAATAATAAAGTTACAATTACATAGTAATATTTCTACTTCAATTCGTTTTTTTAAATATATCAGCCCTAGTCGGTAGTATAAATAAATTAACAATGTGTATTATTTTTCCATGTTACCTGAACCAAGATATCGCCATATATTTGTCAAACAAAAGTTCAACAGATGACGTGTTTTACATCACGTGTGACAGCTCCAAGGCTTTTGAAATCTACAGAAAATTGTGTTTCTACTCAATAGATAGCCAACTTTTATTAAAACCAAGTCTTGTCAGCGGTGAATTAAATATATAGTTCAGTCATGAAACTCCAGATGGTGCAGGCGACAGGTTGTTAACGTAACCGATGATATTCAGAATACTCATGGCACCGTATCGCCCATATGCATTGGCAGTAGCAAGTTCCTGTAATTGCTTGCAGCAGCAGCAGCAGCAATAATCTACAACTACAGCAATAACCAACAGCAGCAGCAATTCAGCAGCAGCGTAGCAGATCTATTCCACCAAGACAAATACATTAACATTGTCATATCCATC